ATTTATTTCAGACAATTTGACAAAAATAAAAATAAAAAACAAACTCAAAATGAATAAAAATTGAGCGCAAAAATGCTCGAAAAAGTAAAAAGAATACACTAAATTAATCAACATGAAGTAAACCTCTGTGAAATTCTGGTATCAGATATTAGATTTCGAAGGAGATGTTCACGACACAAATATCTATTTGTCAAGAACAAAGAACACAGCTAAACAAATAACAATTAAAAGAGACACAATAATTATTAACCTAGTTCCGTGAAAACACACCTACATCTGGGGGCTACCAAGCCAGGGAGGAAATCCACTAACAGTAGAATTAATTCAGAGCTAAACTCCCAGTTTACAACTCCTCACTTAATCTCTACCCATGCAATTTCTGCCTAGAACCCACTAGACAAGAGACACCTCTCACTCCCCGTCAATCACAACAGTGATAACTTTAAATACACAAAGAAGACTTTAGAAGACACTCTTCAAAGTCACAACTTAATCTTGCTTAAAAGCTTCAATCAAGTACAATACACTCTTGGTTAAAAGCTTTGAGTCAACAATTTACAATTAACAACCTAGTCCAATTCACACATTAAATAATGAGTTAATTGCTCACAAAACTATCACACACGAAGCCTAAACCTTAAACAGATGCACACACTTTTTAATTCTTGCTTCCCTGATCTTCAAGCTAGGTTTCACCTCCTTAAATAGCAATGCAGAATGGGCTTGGGTTGTGGAAAAAGTAACAGCAGTCTTAGGGAGATTCCAATCTTCATCAAAACCAGATTTGATTTGATCAATCAGATCTAATCAAATCAATCTCTCAATCTTCAAACATTCTTATGAAAATAACTTCAAATCAAATCCAATCTAATCCACAATAAATGAACAGAAACGCCTATAGTAAGTCATAAGAAGCTCATAGATTCTGTACTGAAAAAGTGAAGCCAGCTTGCACAGAAAGATATGGCCACATAAAACCATTCATACTGAATGCTTAGTCCATGATTGTTAAGACATCTTGTTTGACATCATAGAGAAAAGAACTGATACAAAACACAAAACAACCTGTTGTTCCTGACAGACAGATGTCACGACATCCTGTAGGACATCTTGTGATTACTTCTAGTTTTACCAAAATTCCTGCCAATCAAGAACTAACACTCTGGAAAACAAACAGGTTTTGGTCAAATTTTGAAGTAAAAAGTGACCAGTTAAAAAAGCTCAAGTTGATCAAAATGCGGCCGAAAAAGGAGTTGAAAAAATAAAACAAGCACGCCAGGTTGAACTACCGAACCATAGATTAGTAAAACCGACGTCTACAAGCCCAAGTTAAATTTTTTTAGCCCGCTAAGTTTATGCGCATTTGAGAAACGATTCAATTGAAATGTATGTAAAACCGCAAATTTATTCTGATTGACATTTTAAGTATTACGCAGGATGAAATGCATGTTATGATGTGCAGATGATGTGAATGTCTTGTGAATGCATTGATTTATTAATCGAGAGGAAAAATTAAAGTGTGACACATGGTACCACAATACACCATAGGAGATGATATGTAATTGTGAATCATTTAAGTGATTTAATTACTTCTAGACGATTACATAAAAAATGATTTTCAACTATAATTTTTTTGAAAAACTGAATATTCATTCATAGAAAAATAATAATCTCCACTAAAAATATCTTTTTTTTTTATCAAAATAACTAAGTGTTTCAATTAACTTTTTAAAATAACCATAATTTAAAAAAAAATCAAACTAATCATGTTTTAAATTAAAAAATTGTTGACAAAAAGGAGTAGCCAAACTCAATGGTGCATGCATACATCTTCTGTACATAGCCGCCAGCATGCATGGCACATGCTTATAGTACATGCCACTGCATGTGGCACATGCATGCATCCTTAAGGAGCATGCGCCATAGGTAGTGGCTAATGCGTTGTTTAGTTTTTTATTTTTATATAAATTTTTGTAATTATTGTAACAATAAAATAATTTTAAATAAAATGGAAAATTAAAAATAATTTATAATATTATTTCATAAAATTGAATTGCACAACGATTAAATAGAAAATCAATGACCGCTCGATCGTAACGCCTTCCGGTTCCACAACCTAACACATTCACTTGCCTTCGAGGTCTCCCATGATTTTACTGAGGTGTTTGGGGTATGAATCGTGCATTAAAGGTTTTGCTTTTTGTAAACCTATTATACAAATTGATGGAACGTGATTGTACGAGAAGTATAAAGGAACGCTACTCATGGCAATGACACAAGATGACAACAAGAACATTTTTCTAATCGCCTTTGCTCTGGTTGAAGGGGAGACTGCTGGTGGATGGAGTTTTTCCCCAAAAAATCTCTGATTACATGTTGCTCCTCAGTCTAACTTATGCTTGATTTCAGACAGACGTTCATCAATTGAGAGTGCTTGTAAAAACCTTAATAATAATTGGTAAGATCCTTCTTCTACGCATGTCTACTACATTAGACACATCGCTTAAAATTTCATGCGGAAGATCAAATACAAGATGCTACAGGAGAAGGTTGTGAATACAGGGTATGCATTAAGAGAACCTTCGTTCAAACAATACCACGAAGAGATCAGATTGACAAATGCAGATGCAATAAGATAAATCGATAATATTCCATTGGAGAAGTGGACCAGTGCATTCAACAATGGTCAATGATGGAGCCACATGATAACAAACCTCGTGGAATCAATGAACTCTGCTTTCAAAGACATCAAAAACCTACCGATAACTGCTTTGGTGAGAGCAACCTATTTTAGGCTAGAGTCACTGTTTGAGATCAAACGTTTAAAATGGAGTTCAGTGTTACAATCAGGGCAGTTATTCAATGAAATTCATTAAGGAAGAGGTTGGAAAAGCTAACACACATGTGGTCACAATGTTTGACTGTCATAAAGGTTGGTTAAGTGTAGATGATACAATGGACCATAATGAAGGGAGGCCAAGGGGATACTATTGAGTTGAACTAGATAGAGGTTGGTGCGATTGCGGAAAGTTTCAAGCCTTCTGTATGCCTTCCTCCCATGTCATAACGACATGTTCAAAGGCTTGACAATACATTTCCAACTTACTATCCACCATTTACAAAGTCATAAACCTATGCAATTTGTACAACAATAGCTTTTTGGTGGTAACAAAGGAGGATTATTGGCATGCATATCAAGCAGAGATAGTTTGGCACAGTTAAAATATGCGAAGAAAGGAAAAAGATCGTCCTAACAGCACGCGTATTCGAAATGAAATGGATACGACGAGCAAAATGGTGAGATTATGCAGTTCATGTCGTCAGTCCGAACACAATCATACAAACTGTTGCAATGTTTGAGCAAACACAACATAATTTTATATGTAACCATTTAATTTGATATCTAAAACAACTTTCATTTCATAAATATCACAACATTCGGTCACAACAATCAAAATAACAACTAAACAACAACTTAAACAACAACTAGACAACAAGACAAACAAATACAACGACCAAACAACATATATATGCGATTACAACCATCATGATAATTTCTTCACAACTATGCATCATAATATGACAATCTCTGTCAATTTTAACTAAGTCCTAGAAACGACTTTCTTCATTGTCGTTGTACACCGTAACAATCCTTTGAATTTTTCTGATATTTTCACCATCTGCAATGTCTCCATCTAACCAACATATCAATCTCATTTGAAGATGCTCGAACGTCTCCGTGTTCCATCAGAGGCTTTACTGCCAAATAAATCAAATAAGCATTTCTCTTGTGAATATAAGACGACATATATGATGACATTTTGAAGAAAAATTGAAGGAGAGACTTAGAAGATGGGTGAAAATGATGGGGAGGAGATGCATTATATATAGAAAGCTCTAAACAACGAAGTAGCCACTGCCTGTGGCACATGCTCCTAGAGGATGCATGCATGCACCACATGTAGTGATATGTACTATAAGCATGCACCATACATGCTGACGTCTATGTACAAAAGATGTATGTATGTGTCATTGAGTCTGTCTACTCCTCTTGTCAGCAATTTTTTATTATTTAAAACATAATTAATTTAATATATATTTTTGAAATTATAATTATTTTGAAAAATTAATTGAAAAACATAATTATTGTTTTTTTAAAAATCTCATTTTTTTAATTGAATCACCCTCCATTCAAACATTACAAATCACGTTTTTTTTCTCTATATCATAAAATCCTTTCATCTTTTTAAAATTTAACATCTTTGATTTTAGACGATGATATTGTCACCCGAAGAAATTATTCACATATAAAATTACCAATACATGAAAGAGAGTCGTAGTATCAATTCTCTCTTATTAGTAAATTTATTGAATTTTATTAAACAAATTATGAACGAATAAAAAACTCAATAAATATTTCAAAAATCATAAATGCACAAATAAAATATTTTAGTCATACACATAATCTAACAAAATAATCAAAGCAATTTTCATTTTGAGGAAAACAATCTATATACTTACTTAGTTAACATAAATAACATTCAATGTCTTGACCAAAGAAAAACATAAATAACAATTTTTTATTTTTATTTTTTACAAATTCACATACTTTATCACCATTATATGTTTTTCCAAATATTTCTTTTGCTAACCATTAACAAATTTCCTTATTTATTATATTAATAAACAAAAAGGTAATTGGGTAGAATTTATTTAGAAGCAAGAGGACATTTATGGAATTATGAAATTACAGGAAGAGTCACTGGCATTGTGCCAGCATTGTTACAATGTTGGGTCTCTCACAAGGTACATATCATCATTACATTCTTTGCCTTCTCATACATTCTCTCTCTCTCTCTCTCTCTCTCTCTCTCTCTCTCTCTCTCTCTCTCTCTCTCTCTACATTACAACTCTTCTCTTCTGTCACTTTTGAACACAGCACACAAAAATTCAAAAGCCATTCAGTTTAATCGCTCTTCCTTCTATTTACTCTTATCATAATGCAGGTTAATTCTTCTACTACTTCTTCTTTTTCAAATTCAAAATTTTTTATTTTTTATTTATTTATTGTAACTGTTTTTTTCTTGAAATTTTCAGACAAGGACGGTTCAAGTGAAGCAACTTTCAGATCTAGCTACTGAGAGGGAGATTTACGAATTCTTCTCATTTTCTGGTGAAATTGAAAACATTCAGATCGTAAGGTGTGTAATTTCATGATAGGTATAAATGATTGTTTAGGGTTTGAATTTTTTGTGAGGGGTTACATGTGGTAAATTGTGCTGCCACAGTTCAGTAATCTATTTTTCTTATTTTACCTACAAAAAGTAATTGAAAATAGTAAACTTTATGATCTCTGTTTTGTAATTTTGAATTATTGTTTGGATTGAAACAATCTGTGGTTTGAATTTTGTTATTGAATCTTGCAGTTTTTTCACTTTTGTTTACTTGTTTGTTGGGAAAGTTGAATTCATGTTATGGTTGTATACTTTGTGGTTGTTTGTTGCAGAGAATATGGACAACCAAAGACTGCGTTTGTGACATTTAAAGATCCAAAAGCACTTGAAATTGCGTTGTTGTTATCGGTAATGTCTCTTTTTCTCTTCATTATTTTGCTATTGAAGCTTTGATGGTAACTCATTTATTATCAAGTTTGAATTTTGGAGTTGGTTTGGATAAATTTTACGATAAAAATTTGTAAGGAAATTAAGTTGAAATAGTAATAATCCTATCATGATTATGAGTCTTTTAACTAATACTAGTAGCTTTTTGCATAAGATGGAATTAGTTTCTGCATCTCACGGTTTTAGAAGCTCTATTATCCAACTTCTTTGTAGACAAACTTTTTAAGGGCTATAGTTGTCTGTTAAGAATTAAATACTTATCTCCCATAAGGGAGAAGCTAATATAAACCGGGATTAATCATAGTCAAAAAATGACTGCATCGGCAAAAGGGTAAAAGTTTTCATTTTGTTTCTAATTTGTGTTTGTTCTGCATGATGGGAAATATGTTCCACTGCAATTTTGTGAAGAATAATTGGATGGACACTTAACTGAATTGGTTGAGTTTTTTTGAACTTTTAAGATTGGTTTTGAGTTGGTCATTTTGAAAATCAGAAAGCCATAACTCAGAAAGAAAATGAGATTGAAATCCACAGGAATCTCGATGTTAATTTCATATTTTACAACTTTTATGTAGACTGGGTGTGCCAAGAAGTTCTTTGTATTTTAGTAAATTAGGCTTTATGCTAAGATTCATTTGGTAGAACATGTTTCAATCTCTTATATGTTTCCTTAGTATTATCAAGTCAACTGCTTGTTTGTGAGAGTGAAACTTTTATCGTTGTTATATCAGGGAGCAACAATAGTCGACCAGATTGTGAGTATAAGTCCAGTTGAGAATTATGTTGCAAATCGTGAGATGCAAGTAAGTGTAACAAATACCAATATATCTTATATTATATGCGTGCATATTGATGCAAATCATTTATGTAGGAAGCACGGGCAGGGGAATATTCTATAACTATTGCTCCTGAAGATGCCGCATTGAATTCCGAGGTAAAGACAAAAATAAAAATAAAATTATAAGATTTTTCCTGATTGGTTTTCCTATGGAGTTGGCTAAAAAGGTTATGGAATCGTTTTATGAAATCATTTCCTGAAGATTTGTTACCTATTTCAGGAGGAGAAACCCGGGGGAAGAGTATATCTTAGTAAAGCACAAGATGTAGTGACAAATATGTTGGCAAAAGGATCAGCGATAAAACAAGATGCCGTGAACAAAGCTAAAGCATTTGATGAGAAGCATCAATTGACTGCCAATGCATCAGCAAAGGTCAGTTCATTTGATAAGAGAGTTGGACTGACAGAGAAATTGACAGTTGGACTTTCTGTAGTGAATGAGAAAGTCAAATCTGTAGATCAGAGGCTACATGTTTCAGATAAAACAATGGCAGCAATATTTGCAGCCGAGAGGAAGTTGAACGATACTGGATCAGCTGTCAAAACAAGCAGGTTTGTTTCATACCAAAATGTCGAGGTTCATGTTTCTATATTTCTGGAGTTGGAGAGAAATGTTATGTCACATATACATGGAACCTTGTGGTTGAATTTGATCTGATGTTGTATATTATTTTTGAATGTTGATGATGATAAATTTTTTGCATGCAGATATGTGACCGCCGGAACATCATGGCTAACAGGTGCTTTTAGCAAGGTGGCGAAAGCCGGAAACGTGGCCGGTACTAAAACTAGAGAAAAGTTTAATATGGCTGTTTCAAACTTGACAACAAAGGTTAGACATTCGCACTCGCCAAACAATATATGTTTGTTGGGAACTTATATTGAAGTATGGTTGATTGAATTTTTCATTCATGGATGCAGGATACCTCATTGGTTGTATAGGACAGAATTCAGAATTTCGTTACGACGGTCACTTCATACGGTCTCAAGTGAAGATCTGTTTCAGAGCTGTTGTGTGTTAAAAAGGTTTGGTCTTTGAGATCGATCATGTACTTGTTTCAGATCAATGTTTGTAGTAGTTAGCAACTATAGTGATTCAATTCAATCCAATTTTTTGTATTCTTTTATCATCACTGGTGTTTTTTAGATGTTGCTTCTATGTAATTGGTGATTTTGGCTTTTTTTTTTCTTCTTTACTTTTTGTCTATAGGAAGTTATAGCTTTTGCTTCTATGTAAAAGATAACATCTTGTTTTTGTTATTAACACTTGAAAGATTCATTTGGGAAATTTATATCTTCTAGGTTATCACAAACCATGGAAATTGTATAGATATTTTTTGTTTGTAATATTGATATTATAAGAATTAAAAGTGGACCCTAAATTAACGAAATGAGTCAACTATACTATTAAGATGATGATTTAAAAACAATAATTAGGATTGTTTCATGTGAAATGATGGAAAATTAGAGGACACTTGTTTTGACCAACATGATTAGTGTCGGGCAATGAAAGAATGCACGCCGTGCAAAGACAAAACTTTATTAAAATAATACATGGTCACTTTGTTCATATGTTAGCTGTGTTTTAACTTTTGTTAATTTAATCAAGGGTACGTTTCTGTCTGTCATTATCTATAATAAAGTATGAATTTGAATGTTGCTTTTGGTTGCTCTAAAGTGTGATTGAATTCTGGCCATTCAAGAGAGGCACTCGTAGTTGATCTTTCTAACATTAGCGGCTATTAATTCAATCTCTTTAACTGTATTCGAGAAATAGAAATTTGGTAGCCACAAATCTAAGCTACAACTAGCAATGGCAGCTCACTTTATTCAAACTACTATTCTTGGTTATATCATTGTTGATTATAACGGATCTAGTTGATTGTTTTGATTTTTTTTTCAAACAATTAGGTTTTTCATATTTAATATTCAAATAATCAACCTCTCAAATTATATATCAAAATACATGTTTTAAATAAAAAAAATTCGCCCAAAAGAATGCGTCAATGGCAATGGCGCATGTATTTAAAATTGGCTTCCGACACCACCTTAATTGGCGCATGCGTTATGAACATGTAAATGTCAGGGGCATATACATTGTTGCCTTAAGAGGATATACCATTCTCCCTGGCCTTAAGAGGATATATCATTTTCCCTGGCGCCTATATTGTATTATTTTTTATTTTTATAAATAGGTTACTCATTCTACACCACACATCTTCTCATTTCATTTTTAAACTTTTCTTCACAATATCTTACATCATTAAAGGAAATGCTAATATTTTGTATTCGTTAGTAAAGTTTTCGATGAAGATCCGACTTTGAAACACTGAGACTTTGGAACATCTTGAGAGGAGCTTGATTCGTTAGTTAGACAAAGACATTAAAGACAGTGAATAAATTAGAAGAATTGAAAAGATTGTTACGGTGTCCAACAATAATGGAGTACATCGTGTGTGGGAGTTCGTTAAAACTGACAGTGATTGTCGTGTTATGATGCATGGTTCAGTTTGATATTGTCCTGATGGTTGTAACCTCTTAGATATATTGTTGTGTTTAGTCATTTTATTTGTTTTTCGTGTTATTGCTTTATGTGCGCTTGTGTTTGATTTATTGTAACCGAAACATGTATTCAATATGAAATAAACATTGTATTCAATATGAAATTAAACGATCACAATAAACAAATTACATATCAAAAGTGGATACAATAATTATGTTTTGGAGTTTGCTCCAACATTTGGACAGTTTTTAAGATTGTTACTGGACTGATGGCATGTACCACATAATCTTACCATTTTGTTCGCCGTATCTATTTCGGTTTGAATACGAATACGAGTGCTGTTAGGGCAACCCTTTTTCTTTCTTCGCATATTTTCGTTGTGTCAAACTATGTCCCCTTGATATGTAGGCCAATAATACTCCTTTGTTACCACTGAAAAGCTATTGTCGTAAACATTGCATACATTTATGAATTTCTAAACGACATATAGTAAGTTAGAAGGGTCCTGGATAGTAGATGAACATGCCGCTATGACATGGGTGCAAGGCATACATAAGGCTCAAAACTTTTCGCAATCGCACCAACCTCCATCTAGTTTGACCTGATAGTATCTCTTTGGTCTCCCCTCATTATGGTCAATTGCCTCATCTACATTGAACCAACCTCTACAATGGTCAAACATTGTAACTACATGTGTGTTAACTTTGACAGTTTTCTCCTTAATAAATTTCATACAACTTTCACTGAACAACTACCCTGATTGTAACACTAAACTCCATTTGGAACCTTTGCTCTTGAACAATGAACCTAACCTACAAAGATTGCTCTCACCAACGCGGTTATCGGTAGATTTCTAATGTATTTGAAGACATAATTCATTGATTCCACAAGATTTGTTGTCATGTGGTACCATCGTTGACCATTGTCGAATCCCTGGTCAATTTCTCCACTTGAATATTTTCAATCCACCTTAACATATTGTCACACCCCAAATTTGTCCTACCCATGAATAACCTTCATTTTGGTATCTAGCTACTAATTGTTATTCAGGAAATCAAAGAAATATATTGTTTCTTTCATGAGGTTGAAGTGAATCAAATCAAGTTGCTGCTGAGGTTCATCAGGTCAGGGATAAGTGTAGTGTGTTTTTTAAGTTCATGGTTTTGACTTAATCATAGTCAAGCAGGATTTTGTCTCATAATCAAGGCCAGGGTACGTTAACTCAAATGGTGTATGGGTGAAGTTTGAATTAATGTTTCTGTGGCAATTTAGATTATCTGGGTGCGGATAAAGCTGCCAGTACTTCATGATTGAGAAACATCAGGATTCAATTAGGGTATTGTGCAACGTTTTGGAGTTCACATTTTAAGTCATGATCCTCTAATTTTCAAGGTATGGTTCGGGAGGAGTCTACTCATTCCAAGTAGAGGTTGGTGCAGTTTTGCAGTTTTATTACTTTGGTTCACATATCTTAAGTGTAGTTTTTGGAAAATTTTGGTGTATGCAAAAGGTTTGCAAGAATGCTTTATTTGGATTCAAAAAATCATGGTATGGATAATCATTTGTGTCAAATTGCCTTAATGAGGATTGCAACACAAGTTCAATACAAGTTATATCAATTCAATCCCAAGTAGAGATTTACAGTTCAAGAAAATTCAAAGATCTTGCAAAATGCCCAAATTAAGTTCATGATTACGAGAAATGCTTGCACAATACAAATAATTATGTTGAACTACATTACACTAAGTCAAACCTCATTGCCATATTTGTTCCTAGGCCCATGACCCAATTTGTCACAAAAATTGAGATTTACAAAAATCCAACTCCAATTAAGAAATTTAGGCCCATGATTATGACCAAAGCCCATGTTTCAAAAAATAGAACCCATCATTTTTTAAGTCCATAACAATCCCATACATTTTTACATGCCCATAGCCACTGTAAGTGCAAGAATGAAAATCCTTTGCTTCATCATTTCATGAGCTAGCAAAACTTATCAAAATATTTCAAAAGAAAAAGAAATAACCCACACGGCCAAGCTAACCATGCCTGGTAAACTCAAGTTGCGACAAGGCATATCACGTCCACAACTATTATGCATAAAAAACCAAATCTACACGCACAATTCACGTTACACTCATCGTATCCACCACACAAATGAGAAACCAAAATACGCACATGGTCTCACAGAATCCATTCAAGATTTTCACGCAACAGACACCTCAACAATTTCCAGCTTACGTTTATCTTTCTCTCTCTCTCTCTCTCCCTAAAATTCCCTTAACTCCTTCCATAAAACTAACATTCACCATTCACCTCAAAAAGGAGGACCGGGTTTCTATGCACCACAGAATGTTAATAAGAAAAAACCTTCAAGCTCCAAAAGATCTTCTTCATGCACTCTCGCAAACATAACTGCCGCGTGCCTTTCTTCACCCAACAACAACCTTTTTTTCGAATCCTCCAAAACTGTTTTCTCAAACATATTTGAAACAAAAATAAAACAAAAAAGAAGATGAGTTGAAACAAACTTGTTTTTTCCAAAACCCAAATGCATCGAAGAGAAGAACGATATGAGATGGAGTCGACACGAACCTGAGATAAAAAACCAAACTGCGGGCGAATGAAAGGTTGGGGACGATCTGTCATCATTGTATGTTCGTTTCAATTTGTTTTGATTTTTGTTAATTTGACCATAACCTTTCTCAAGTTTAGAAAAGCTGGTGTTCTGAGATTCTACCTTTGTTTACTCATTTATATTGAATTTTTTTATAAAAAAAGAAATGTTGCTTTGTCTTTATAGTTGATTTATAGCCTTTGTTTTGGTATAAGAGATGAGAACCGAGGATGATGTGGTAGGTTTGTGCTTGACCAAGCTAGTTTTTTTTTGTCTTGAGGGTTCGATGGGCCCTTGGGCCCATGCTGGATTGTTTTTTTTACATTAGCACACCTCATGTTCAGCGCATGTCCCCCCCCCCCCCCCCCCCCCCTTTTGTTAGTTTTTTTTTAAAAAAAAATTGTTTTAAGTTTTTGTTTTATAAGTTTTAAAATAATAATTATTAATATTTTACTATTGATTTCTTGTCTACTATTTTGATTCTATCTTGATCCACATATTTTATTGTTTCATTGGATATTAATTTCAATTTTTATTTCACATTTTCGATTCTCATTATTGGTTTTCTTTTTCGATTCAATTCTTGGTTGATGAAGTCTTTATATTCACAAATATTGATTTATTGAGGTTGTTAACCTTCATATTTCAAATCTGTAGTGAATGATCATTGAGATCATTTTCTATACTTTGGGATCGTAATAGGTTACCTTCAATTAATCAACACAAGTTTGTGATTAAGACGAGATCACCTGCTTTTCCGTCCGTGTGACACGATTACTTTGGAAAATGATCCTCAATATCCTTTCTCCATCGTGTTTTTAG